GGAGTCTCACTCTGTCACCCAGGTTGGAGGGCAGTGGCACACTCACGGCCACCACAGCCTTGACCTGCTGGGCTCAGGTGATTCTTCTGCCTCGGCCTTCCAAGTAGCTGGGACTACAGCCATATGCCACCACACCTAGCTAACTTTTTTATTTATTGTGGAGATGAGGTCTTACCAAGTTGCCCAGGTTGGTCTCAAACCCATGGGCCTCAGACAGTCCTTTTTCCTCGGCCTCCAAAAGTGTTGGGATTATAGGCGTGAACCACTGTGCCTGGCCTACCTTCCATGCTCTTTTTTTTTTTGAGTTGGAGTCTCACTCTGTTGCCCAAACTGGAGTGCAGTGGCCGCTCCTTGACCTGCTGGGCTCCGGCGATCCTTCCGCCTCAGCCTTCCAAGTAGCTGGAACTACAGGCGCGCGCTAAGATGCCTGGCTAATTTTTTGATTTATTGTAGAGATGAGGTCTCGCCTGCCCAGGTGAGTCTCAAACCCGCGGGCTCAGGCAATCCACTCACCTCAGCCTCCCAAAGCACAGGATTACAGGCTGAGCCACCGAGCCCGGCTTCATCCTATGCTCTTTAAACACTAACTCTCCACTGTGCATGGTGGCTCATGCCTGTAATCCCAGCATCATGGGAGGTGGAGATGAGAGAATTGCCTGAGCCCATGGGTTCAAGACCAGCCTGGGCAACTTGTCAAGACCTCATCTCTACAATAAAAAAATTAGCCTGGCGTGGTAGCATATGCCTGTACTTTCAGCTACTTGGAAGGCTGAGGCAGAAGGATCACCTGAGCCCAGCATGTCGAGGCAGTGGTGGCTGTGAGCATGCCACTGCATTCCAGCCTGGGTGACAGAGTGAGACTCCAACTCAGAAACAAAACCAAACCACACAAAAAAAATAACTCTGTCCCCCTGCCCCCACCACCACCCCAGACTCTGGCAACCACCACTCTGTCTCTGTAAATTTGACCTCTTTAGGTACCTAATATAAACTGACTTGTATTTGTCCTCTTGGAATTGACTTACTACATTTAGCATGTCTTCCAGTCTCATCCATGTGTCAGAACTTTCTTTTATTTATTTATTTTTTTGAGTTGAAGTCTCACTGTCGCCCAGACTGGAGTGCAGTGGCCGCTCCCGGCCACCGCAGCCTCGACCTGCTGGGCTCCAGTGATCCTTCCGCCTCAGCCTTCCAAGTAGCTGGAACTACAGGCATGCGCTACCACACCCAGCTAATTTTTTTTTATTTATTGTAGAGATGAGGTCTCGCCAGGTTTCCCAGGCAGGTCTCGAACCTGTGGGCTCAGGCAGTCCACTCACCTCGGCCTCCCAGAGCACGGAATTACAGGCAGAGCCACCGAGCCCGGTCAGAACTTTCTTTTAAAAGCTGAATGATGTCCCATCGTATGATGAACCATATCTTGTTTGTCCAATCATCCACTGATGGACACTTGGGTTGCTTCTGCCTTATGGCTGTTTGTGAATAATGCTATGATGAATAAGGGTGTACAAATATCTGTTTTGAGTACATGTTTTTATTTCCAATAGTTTTTTTTTTCCAAAGCAATAATTTGTATTTACATCAACAAAGCAGAGTTAGAATGAACTATTGATAGGGATATTCTAGATAACATTAATGAATTCCGACTACGTTTAAGGCATGGTCTTGTCTTCTGAGATATACCGAGATTACTTAATTGTATGTCTGCTCTCAGAGTCTACAATCTGGGAATGGGATACAGTGACAATTTTTCTTTCTTTCTTTTTTGAGTTGGGATCTCACTCTGTCACTCAGGCAGTGGCATGATCACATTTCACCATAGCCTCAACCTTCTGGGCTCAGGTGATCCTTCTGCCTCAGCCTCCTGAGTAGCTGAAACTACAGGCATGTGCCACCACGCCAGGTTAATTTTTTGATTTTTATAGAGACAAGGCCTTGTCATGTTGCCTAGGCTGGTCTCAGACTCCTACATGCAAGCAATTCTTTCACCTTGGGTTCCCAAAATGTTGGGATTATAGGCGTGAGCCTCTGCACCCAGCCAGTGACAATTATTTTATTATTATTGAGTCAGAATCTCACTTGATTGCCCAGGCTGGAGTGCAGTGGTACAATCGTAGCTGACCACAGCCTCAACCTCCTGACATAAGGTGATCCTTCCACCTCAGCCTTCCGAGTAGCTGGGACTATAGGCGTGCACCACCGAGCTTGGCTAACTTTTTTTATTTATTTTTTGTAGAGATGAGGTCTTATTGTGCTGTCTAGGCTGGTCCTGGCCAATGACAACTTTCAGAATTGACCAAAGCTTATTTTCTAAACCAGCACCTTTCTTCTCAGCCAGTGGTTCATTAGGCCAGCACCATCAGCCTCAGCTGGGAACTTGGAAAAGTGCAAATTCTTAGGCCCCAGACCTACCAAATCAGAAAATCTAAGACTGGGGACTAGCAGTATATCTTTTGAAGCTCTCCTCTGAGTGATAAACACTCAACTTCTGGGTCTATTTTAGGCAACACTGTCCAGGCATCCAGGACTTGACCTCAAACAGATTTCTTCTCACATATGGAAAGAAATTCTTTACAGGGAGTGCAAGGACTTGTTCCAAAAAAAAAAAAAACAACTTAATTCCGGATAAGCCAAAAAACTCTCTTCATCTGCCTTAGTTCAAATCCATTAACCCCTCTCCAGCTACACAAATTCCTCCATACTTACTTTCTTCATTTATCTGCCTTATGCAGCTCTTGTGAGTCTTCTGTGGATGGTAGAGAGGAGAAACAAACGCAGTTTGGGGGGCTGACCATCACCTGCCTTACCTTAAGACTCAGTAACCCTTGGCATAATTATTACCACCACAGGTTTTTGGATAATGTAAAACAATGGGGGGAAAATATATGCATATATATATGTATGTACGTATGTATATACACCCCCCCTTTTTTTTGGAGTCAGTCTGTTCCCCAGGCTGGAGTGCAGTGGCACACTCATGTTCCTGCAGCCTCAACCTGCTGGGCTCAGCCCTCCAAGTAGGTGGAGCTACAGGCATGTGCAACCATGCCCAGCTAATTTTTGGATTTGTTGTAGAGACAGTCTCTCCAACTTGTCCAAGCTGGTCTTGAACCCCCGGGCTCAGACAATCCTCTCATTTCCACCTCCCAAAGTGCTGGGATTATAGGCATGAGCCACTGCTCTGGGCCTAGTCTTCATTTTAAAGTCATATTTCTTTTTCCAGTGAAGAAAATATCATTTTACTAATGGAAGTACAAGTTAAATGGGAGATTTTAATAGGTTTAAACCATACATTAATGCTTGACTTTTTCAAAATATTGTATTAGTATTTATCTATTTTTTCTAGCTTATGGAATCAATAGATTAGCAGAGTGCTCATGATGCTACTTGATTCTTTTTAAGATCTCTGTGTAATTCCAATATATTGCCTTTAGGGTGGAAAGTGGTACATTGGTTGTGGTTTTGTGATTTGAGCTGCTAGGGTGCAGCAGGGAGTGTGCTTAACTGTGAAAAGTTAAACTCTATTTCATTCTTCGTTCTGAGATGTTTGAGTGCTACAGAACCTCCAGTCAGCTTCATGTCCAATTCCTTGTATCTTTACCTCACTGACAACTAGCTGTGAATGCCCAAGTTGGAGGCCAATGTCATAGGTGCTCAGCAGTCTCCCTATTTGAGATACTGGTCTTTTCACATCTTGGCTAGCAAGAGGAAGAAAAATTGCAACTTCTTTCTAGTTCTTTTCTCTTTGCTTTCTTGCTTTTATATCCACTGATGGAATAGAGCAATTATAATTGCAGTAAAATTTTACACCAGTAGCATAAAGCATTGTCTTTTTTCAGGTGGGCATAATTTCCTCAGCAGGAACCAATAGGCAGCTAACTATGACTGAACTTACTGATGAAATATTTTATTTTAAACCAGTTTTTAAAGTGTAGCATAGAGCTTTGAGTTAGAAAAAAAAAATCAAGGGCATCTCTTACAAAGCATGCCACTTAGAAACAGTATTTAAACAGAAAGCTTAATTTTTTCTAATTGGATTCCTACTCTGTCACCCAGGCTGGAGTGCAGTGGCATGCTCATTGCCACCGCAGCCTCGTCCCACTGGGCTCAGGTGATCCTTCTACCTCAGCCTTCCAAATAGCTGGAACTACAGGTGCATGCCACCATGCCTAACTAATTTGTTTATTTATTGTAGAGATAAGGTCTCACCAAATTGCCCAGGCTGGTCTTGAACCTGTGGGCTCAGGCAATCTTCTTGGCTCTGCCTCCCAAAGTGCTGGGATTATAGGAGTGAGCCACCACACCCAGCTTAATTTTATATTAAAGTATTTTCAGTGTGATTTTTTTAAAGGCTGTATATTATTTAAATTTATTTACAAGTTCTATATGGTTAAATAAATACTTTTTTTTTAGATTGGAAAATACAGTTTAGAAAAGAAACTGGAGGGAAAGAGGGGGAGAGAGGGAGGGAGAGATGATTCACCTCCCCAAGGTAGGAGAAGGGGCCAAAGCTCAGGAAACCTGGAGGCCACAGCTCAAAGTGCCACGTGACTTGGCCAGGGCTTAGCAAAGCAACAGCTTAACTGCTTTTTAACACAACCCAGGGCAATAGTTCAGCAATTTTATCCAGATATTACTTAACCATAAATATAATGAAATAAAATATTCACTAGATATATTTTTGCAGTTAATAATCTTTGAATAATTTAATTTGTCATTTTAGAAATTCTAAATAGTTACATGTACTATAAAAAGTTATAGCCAGCCAGGCACAATGGCTCAAGCTTGTAATCCCAGCACTTTTGAGAGGTGGAGGTGAGAGGATTGCCTGAACCAATGGGTTTGAGATCAGCCTGGGCCAACATGGCGAGACCTCGTCTCTACAATAAAAAAAAAAAAAATTAGCCAGACATGGTGGCATGTGCTTGTAGCTCCAGCTACTTGGAAGGCTGATGCGAAAGTTTCGATCATCTGAGCCCAGCAAGTGGAGACTGTGGTGGCCATGATCATGCCACTGCACTCCAACCTGGGCAACAGAGTGAGACTCCAATTCCAACTCCCCTTCCCCCTAAAAAGTTATAGCCATTATTATATATCATTTGGTGAAAATATTATTGTTTCTAGTGTAATGCGCACCTGTAGTTCCAGCTATTTGGAAGGCTGAGGCGGAAGGATCGCCAGAGCCCAGCAGGTTGATGCTGGAGTGGCTGTGAGTGTGCCACTGCACTCCAGCCTGGGCGACAGAGTAAGACTCTAACTCAAAAAAAAAAAAAAAAATTATTGTTTCGTTTTTTTTGGATTTATATTTGGTTTCTTTTTTTTCTGTAGCCTCAAATTCCTGGGTTCAAGTGATGCTTCCACCTCAGCTTTCTGAGTAGCTGGGACTACAGGCATATGCCACCACATCCAGCTAATTTTTTTATTTTTGTAGAGATGAGATCTTATTATGTTGCACAGGCCAGTCTCAAAACTGGGCTCCAGCAATCCTCCTGCCTCAAGCTCCCAAAGTGTTGGGATTACAGGTGTAAGCCACCATGCCCAGCCCTATATACTTACTACTGCATTCAAAATAGGAATAATAGTCAGATTTTACTACTATAGTTATGCAGATAATTGTGAGAAAATAAAGACACATACTTGATCCTTTTCTTGAATTAGTAATAAGACTCTGTATACATGGGAGAAACCTTCATGAGTGAACAAACTCTCATAAAGGCATTAATTTCATTCTGTAAGAAAATAACCTAATTAAAACTGCTAAGGAAAGAGATAAAAATCCCGCCACTTAAAGTAGATATACATCTTTACTATTTACAAGAAACTTTCTGTATTTTTTTGATCCTCACAACTACTCTGTGAGGTAGACATGTTTCCGTTATTCATTCTAATATTTTCCTAACATGGTATTTTCCCCAGAAACACTGAAGGATGCCAAGAAAAGTTTGCCCTTGGACTTAGTTCCCATGTATCCAAAGAATAAATAAAAGTTTAAAAAGTTGTTTTACTAACTTTAGTTTCAGAAACTGTATTAGACATTTCTTAATTTCAAAGTCCATTTTTCAGAGAAGATAAGAAATTTCTGAAGTCCACTTTTGAATTCTTTTGGGATTCATTCTGACTAAGCAACATTTTTAATTGAGAGAAGTGTTTCTTTGTTTTGCTCACACTCTTTGAAGAGCAAGTAGAAGCTGACTGTCCAGATGTAGGTGTTCTGAAAAGAAACAAAACCACTTTGTTATACCAACAAATGAATGTTCATAAAGGGTTCTTCCTGCTTAGCTAGAAAACTGTTACTAGAGTCGTTTTCTCCTTTTTTGTATTATGTCCATATAGGGACAATTGCTGTGGTCAGTATAGTGATTCCCATTGTAGGTGACTCCTCAATGAATAGGCCTCAGGCAACATTTAGAAAGTATGTGTACTGGGTGGTTCTGAAGCTTCATCATGCTTGAAAGATAAGGTTAGAGGTATACTGTCATCAGGTACAAGTTCTCTTTAAGCCTGAAGTCAAGATTTACAACAATTCTAAGCAAAGACTGTAAACATATATTCCATCTTCACAGCTGAAGACCACTTTGCTTTTTGAAAGTGAAAGATCTCAACCCACACCTGTAGGTACCATTCCATATTGTATCCTCCCCAACAGAATTCGAACCCCAACACCTTTGTACCACTAATGGTATACTCCAGAGCTTCTGACAGTGCCAGACACACAGGTACTCTAAAAAGATCCATTTAAGTGCTGGATGCGGTGGCTCATGCCTGTAATCTCAGCACTTTGGGAGGAGGAGGTGAGAAGATTGCCTAAGTGTTCAAGATCAGCCTGGGCAACTTGGCAAGACCTCATCTCTACAATAAATAAAAAAATTAGCCAGGCATGGTGGCGCATGTCTAAGTCCCAACTACTTGGAAGGCTGAGTTAGCCATGACTGTGCCACTGCACTCCAGCCTGGGAGACAAAAACTCAAACAAAAAAAATTAAATTATTTATTGATCTTTTGAGTTAAAGTCATGGCCACCACAGCCTCAACCTGCTGGGCTCACACAATCCTTCTGCCTCAGCCTTTCAAGTAGCTGGAACTACAGGCACGTGCCACCACGCCTGACTAATTTTTTTCATTTTTTATTTTTTTGAGTTGGAGTCTCACTCTGTTGCCCAGACTGCAGTGCAGTGGCATGCTCACAGCCACTGCAGCCTCCACCTGCTAGGCTCAAGTGATCCTTCCACCTCAGCCTTCCAAGAGGCTGGAACTACATGCATGCGCCATCATATCCAGCTAGTTTTTCCTTTTTTTTCCTGAGTTTGAGTCTCACTCCATTGTCCAGGCTGGAGTGTAGTGGCATGCTCACAGCCCTGCAGCTTCGACCTGCTGGGCACAGGCGATCCTTCTGCCTCAGCCTTCCAAGTAGCTGGAACTACAGGCACGTGCTACCATGCCTGGCTAATTTTTTAATTTATTGTAGAGATGAGATCTTGCCATGTTCCCCAGGCTGGTCTTGAACCCCTCAGCTCAGGCATTCCCCTCATCTCTGCCTCCTAAAGTGTTGGGATTACAGGTGTGAGCCACTGCGCCTGGCAAAAAAATTTAATTCAATAAGTAGAGATAAAACAGTTCTTGATTGTTATTTATGTTGAAGAGACTATCAGACTCGGTTTCTCTTTTGTAGCAAAACATTCCAAAATTCCTTTCCTTTAAATTTGACTATCATAGTGAATAAAAGTGAAAAGTGCCCATTAATATAGTTAACTTAGTATCATTCAACAAATTTCTATTACAGTTTCCTAAGGAATTTCTGGTAGAGGAAAGAACAACAGCAAAGGTTCAGACCAGGAATGTGCACTGTGAGTGGCTCAGTTCTGCTGGCACATAGGATGCATTAAAGGCAAAGTAGAAGGCAGACTGGTACCCAACAGTGAGGGCTAGAGTGCTGATCCACACACTAGAGTGAGGTGCTAAATGCTTTTCCGCAGAGCTAGGCTCTAGAAAGATGATCACATTAAAAGAGTTGAAACCAGAAGTAGGAAGGCCAATTAGGAAATAACTGTAGTAGTCCTAACAAAAGGTAAGAACCTGAACCAGGAAAATAGCAGTAGGGAAAGGAAGGAGAGAACAGATGTCAACAGCATGGCACTAGAATGAAAACCATGACAAGGACCAAGGGAGAAGGGATTTCTGAATGCACTTGTCGCTTTGGGTCAGGATGTCAAGAAGGGCACATTCACTCACAGAATAAGAAACTTAGGAGGATAGACAGGCTTGAGTGGGTAGCTGTGGGGACATGACAAACTAAGTTCTGAACATGCAGCTGGCTAAAGTGGATCTATTTAGCAGACAGCTGGGAGCAGGCCCAGGGAGAGGTCAGGAGTAGAGTAATACACCTGGAAGTTAGATGCAGTGAGATAAGCAGTAAAAATATGGGAGTTTGTGACATTCAAAAAGGTTAGGGAGGGAAAGTGGCCAAGTTCTGAACAACATGGCATAGTTAGGGAGTGCATATTAAACAGAAAATTAGAAGATACTTGTATTAACAGTGGCCATTCAAATAAAGTTAATGGATTAAGATACCTGAAAATTGATGCTGGGCTCTTGCCTTTGGAACCGGGTGTATCATGATTTACGTTTGTAGAACTTAGAGTCTTCCTCTCTGTTGTCTTCAGGCTGAGTTTACTCGCTGAAGTGGTAGGACTGCTCTTCAATGTTGACAGAAAGCTTCTACTTTTACCATGATGTTTAACTGTTCTGTTACATGTTTTACAAGTAATCAACTGCCATAGAAAGAAGAAATAGTCCCATGATATCACTTATAATTTATAAACCCCATAAACCACATGTTCACTGAATTCTTACATGTTAGGGACTACAGGGCTAAATAAAATAGAGGCTGCCAGCAGGAATCAGACAAGACAAACTTAGAGGAAATCTTAAATGAAAAATTAATGGCTTAATATTTATATTTAATTTTAAATAGCCTAAAAATTAAATAAATAAATAAAACAAAATAGCCTTTTAAAGATCATGAAAGCTGGGCACAGTAGCTTATGCCAGTAATCCCAGCACTTTGGGAGGCAGAGGCAAGAGGACTACCTGAGTCCAGGGGTTTGAGACCAGCCTGGGCAACTTGGTGAGACCTCAACTCCACAATAAAATAAAAAAATCAGCCAGCCATGGTGGTGCATGCCTGTAGTTCCAGCTACTTGGAAGGCTGAGGTGGAAGGATCATCTGACCTCAGTAAGTCAAGGATGTGGTGGCCATGAGGGTGCCATGTACTCTAGCCTGGGCGACAGAGTGAGACTCCAACTCAATAAATAAATAAATATAATAAGCTCTCTACTTTCTTAATATAAACACCTGTTTAGGGGGAACTGGGGATGATAATCTTTTAAGTATGGAAGGATGGGTCTTTGTAACAGTAGACATTTAATGTTTTTTGCAGATGAGCCTCAAACCTTTCCCCAGTAAAACTTGACAGAATACCACTGGAAATTTAAGTGGGTCCTTCAAGTCCTTAGTGATTTTATAACTATAGATCTAAAGTAATTTATAAAACCAAGTGAGTTATTCTCACACTTCCTTACTCTGTCATTAGCTCTAGAGGCTTTCTATTCAGAAGTCATTCCTCAAGAAATGTTCTGTTTTCTGGCAAAATTCCTTTCTTCTACATAGCCTACTCAAAATGCACAGGGTTCAGCCCATGCTTCAGCAAAATTAATACAAACTGGTTTAGGTAAGGTACTCTGATGTTCCTGAGCAGGGACAGAAATGCCAATGGAAGATCTGAATATATCAAAGGTCTATGTTGCTTTACACTTTTTGGAGGCTGTATATAGATTGAAACAAATCAACAAAACAAACACTCCTGGCTCCCTTCTAGCTGATCTCTGATTAAATTACAGTCGGTCCTAAGCTTCATGAGAGCAAAACACTGGAAAACAGTGATGCAGCATTTATTATCTTTCCACTTAATAATTTTCCAAATATGTGGCAGCAGTGTTTTTTGAAAAATACAATTCTGCAAGGATTAAGAAAGTATTATTCACTACAATATTATGTATCTTCTCTTTCACCATTAAATTTTATGATAAAGCAAAATGTACTTCACCTGTCCAATACCAGTAAACTTCTAAATATGCCAATTTTCTATCCAAGTTAATAATAATTATAGTCTTAGGCCAGACATGAACTGTCATAGTCTCCAGTAAGCAGGCACTTGAATGGCTGATGTTAATATAGAACATGAAGGATATAAAATGTATCTGATACTGGCTTCCATACAGTAAACCGTAAGTCAACTGATTTTAGTCGTTTTGTTATTTTATATACCCCAAATTAAGGGTTGTTTGGCATACGATAGACCCTCAATAAATGTCTAATAAACGAATACAAGATACACTCATTTTTGTTGGTCATGCATGTAAATACACCCTGACATGGGCAGAAATGACTGAAGAAGTTACACTGGTACCTGTACCTGGAAGGTATTGTTGTTTAAAGAAAAAGACCATTAACTGAAATAATTCATGTGGAGTTATAATGGCCAACTCAAGAAATCTTCAAATTTGTGAAAATAGTTGTGCTCAACAAGGAGATCTGAGAACAATTAAGAGCTCATAATGTTTGGTCTTAGGTAATCATGTAAAATTAAAAATATGCTGTTCTTGTAACAAAACACTAAACACTAGGAAACCGTTTTATGTATATATTTTGTAATCCAAATATACTACTACAAATCTCTGAGTTATATTCAGGCTAATTCTTAACCTCATTTTAAATGAAAGAAAATTCTAGTTTTTTTTTTTTTGAGTTGGAGTCTCACTCTGTTGCCCAGACTGGAGTGCAGTGGCCACTCCCGGCCACCGCAGCCTCGACCTGCTGGGCTCCGGCGATCCTTCCACCTCATCCTTCCAAGTAGCTGGAATTACAGGCATGCGCTACCATGCCCGGCTGATTTTTTGATTTATTGTAGAGATGAGGTCTCGCTGCCCAGGTGGATCTCGAACCCGCGGGCTCAGGCAATCCACTCACCTCAGTCTCCCAAAGGCACGGGATTACAGGCTGAGCCACCGAGCTGGCTTCTAGTTTTTTTTTTGAATTGGAGTCTCACTCTGTTGCCCAGGCTGGAGTGCAGTAGCACGCCCACGGCCACCCCAGCATTGACTAGCTGGGTTCCGGCAATCCTTCCACCTCAGCCTTCCAAGTAGTCGGAACTACAGGCACACACTACCATGCCCAGCTAATTTTCTGATTTATTGTAGAGATGAGGTCTCACCAAGTTGCCCAGGCTCTTCTTGAACCTGTGGGCTCAGGCAATCCCCTCACCTCGGCCTCCTAAAGTGCTAGGATTACAGGCTTGAGCCACCATGCCTGGCCGAAAATTCTAGTTTATTCATACATACTGAAACCAAAATCTTACCAATACACTTTTGGAGTCTTTGTACTTTTTCACAATTTTTGCTTCTTTACAACCGAGTGTATAATTTCTTGCTTCTCGATTAAGAAGTTTCTGTATTTTGGGTGTCAATTTGGCCTTGGGTTTAAGGCGCACTCGAGAATTATCCAGAATCAACAACTGGAAGCAGTATGGACACGTTTCTTCAAAAGTGCTCTTGTCTAAAATTACACAAAGGAAACTCACAATTCAGCAAACCTGATTATTTTGTTATCGCAAAACTGCCATTATAATAAATGTAGAAAAGCATATTGATATGTAATATGAACAGATACATTCTCTTTAAGCAAACTGAAAATATGAAAATTTACAGAGATAAGTTGTCAGTAAATTACTTTGCTAAATAGTATAAATCCATCCATTCACTCATTTTCGTAACAGATAAGCAAGTTTCTAACCCATGCCAGCAAATCCCATTGGCTTTAAAATAAATCCAAAATCTAGTCACTTCTCATTACTTGCTAAGTAAAAAACGGCTGTTTCACTAATTTTACCAACCCATTTACCACAAAATAACAAATAGCACTGAGATTATTTCCTTTTTTTAAACAATCAGCACAATAAATATTTACTGAGTACCTAGTGCTGTAACAGCACTACAAAAATTAAGGACCATGCTAGGAACTTAGCTCTACCAAATGTCAAATTCATTTATATTTGTGATTATTTTATATTTATTTATTTTTTGAGTTGGAGTCTTACTCCGTCACTCAGGCTAGAGTGCAGTGGCATACTCATGGCCCCATCACAGCCTTGACCTGCTGGGCTCAGGCGATCCTTCTGTCTCAGTCTTCTAAGTAGCTGGAACCACAGGTGCGTGCTGCCATGCCTGGCTAATCTTTTTTAAAAATTTATTGTAGAGATGAGGTCTCACCATGTTGTCACAGTGGTCTTGAACTCGGGCAACCCTCTCACCTCTGCCTCCCAAAGTGCTGAGATTACAGGTCACTGCTCCTGGCTATATAATCCTTTTAAAGGACCTTCATTTTTACCAGGAAATGGGAAGGCAAATGACAGTTTGTGCAGAGAAGTGACCTGAGCTAGCTCTGATTTGATCAGAATCACTCTGGCTGCTGGCTTGAGGACACACTGTAGAATGAATAGGAGCTGTTGGTAGTCATACAAGAGAGAGCTGGTGATGACCCAGAGTAGGGTGGCAGCAATAGATATGGCGAGAAGTGGCTAGATTTTGGATATACTTTAAAGCCAAAAGGAGTTGCTGGAATATTAGCTTATAGTAGGAGAGAGGGCTGTTAGGGAGTCAAGACCGGCTCTAAGGTTTCTGGGTTCAATAACTAAAGATGGAGTTACTATTTACTGAAATGGGAAGAACTGGAGGATCTCACTGGGAGCAAAGCTCAGGCTTTGAATGTACTAATTTGGGACTGCCCTACTAGACATTCAAAAGGAGTTGTCAAGAAGGCACTAGAAGGTGAGTTTGAAATTCAGGGGTCTAGGCTGGGCCTATACATTTGAAAGCTCTCAGTATACAGTTTTTATGGGCCAAATGTGTGTGACCTAGGCCCGTGGCATCCATCCCCAGGAGGGCCAGAGACCTGTACAGTTCAACCCACTGTGGTTGAACTGTAGCCTAGTTACATACAATTTAGCAGCACAGAGGTTACAAGAAACCAGAAATCAACGCCAGTGAGATGTCCAGGAAGATGGGATATTTTCACGTGGGGAGTCGCTGACTGTAGGTGGACAGTATACGGTATTTATCAGCCATGAGACTGGATGAGAAACTATCACCAGAAGAGCATTTAGCTAGAAAAGAGGTACACGGGCCGAGTCCTAGAACACAATATTTAGAAGTTGGGGAGGCTAGAAGAGCCAGCAAGGCACATGGAGAAGTACTGGCTAAAGAGGTAGGAGGTGAATGGATATGTGATCACCAGAGGCCAAGAGAGGACACTTGAGAGAACACTGATCAATGTGTCAAACGCCCCAGCAGGTCAAGCAAGATAAGGCACATTAGGGAAGTCGGATTTCTCCCGAAACTGAGAAGGCTCTGAAATTGTTTTGTGTTTGCTTTTTAACTGAAGGGAGACAATCAACCTCCCAGCCCTCAACAGACGCGCGTCCTTCCTACCGTGCGATGACGAGTTGTAGGTCCATCTGTAAAAGAGAAAAAGACGCATGAGGGTGGAGTCACCCCTCCTCCCGCCCGCCCGCCTCCTATCCCATCCTCTTACAGGAGGTAGCGGGCCTGGCCCGGGCAGCTCTCATGGAGGCCCCGCGCCGCAGCCTCCAAATAGTGCTTCTGCCTCATTGTAGCCGCCGCCTGGCCGCGGAGACCAGGTGGGAAAAGAAGGCGCCGGAAGTCGGCTTCCCGGCGTCGCTGACGTCACCGTCGAGAATAAAGCTCCCTCCGAAAACAAGCACCCGTCTGCGGAGAGGTTCCAGTTTGTTTTCCCTATCCATGGTCACGACCTTTGGTCTCCCCACCCATCCCCTTTCGACCTGAGCCTGGGCGGGGCAGCTTAACCAGGAAAAGGTGGTAAAGTCTGAACCTGAAGATGCCACACACCTCTGGCTTCCTCTCCCGCCTTCCTCATCGCAGCAGCGTCACTCTCGAGTCTCCGCGCGTGGACTCCGGCCGTGGTGGAGGCTCTGGGAGGAGCGCGGCATCCTTTCCGGCCTGGGAGTGGTCTCCAGTCCCGCACGTGTACAAGCCAGCCTTTGTTTTTCCTTTATTTACTTATTTTTGTAATTGAAGTGAAATTGACACAACGTAAAATGGACTTAGGTGTGCAGATCCGCGGCTTTAGTACATTTGCAGTGTTGTGCAACCACCTCCTCCATATAATCCCTAAGTATTTCACGCCAAAGGAAACCCGGATCACTGGAGCATTTGCTCCCTCTGCCCCCCTCCCTCCAGGCCCTGGCATTCGTTTCTCCGCTTTTTGTCTCTATGCATTTACCTAGTCTAGGCATTTCACATAAATGGAATGATACAGCATGTGACCTTTTGTGCCCGGTTTCTCCCAACTAGCATAAAGGTTTTGAGTTTCATCCATCTTTGGGCCACCTGTCAACACTTTCTTTTAATGGTTGAATAATACTCCATTGTATGGAAATAGCATATGTGCTTATCCATTCATCAGTTGATGGACGTTTGAGTTGTTTCTAGCTTTTGGCCATTATGAATGATGCTGCTGTGAACATGTATGTACATTTATTTGTTTGAGTATCTGCTTTCTGTTCTTTTAGGTATATACCTAAGAGTGGACCTGCTAGGTCACATGATAATTCTGTGCTTAATGAGAGTTTCAACTTCTCCACATCCTCACCCACACTTGTTTCATTTTTTTTTAATTCTAGCCATCTTAATGAGTGTGAAGTAGCATCTCATTGTGGTTTTTATTTGCATTTCCCTAATGACTGATGATGTTTGAGCTGCTTTTCACGTACTTGTTGGCAATTTGTATATCTTTGTTGGAGAAATGTCTGTTCTTTAATTTGTGTGTGTGTATGTCTTTTTGTGGTTGAGTTGTAAGAGCTTGTTTTCTGAGTCAGGATCTCACTCTGTTGCCCAGGCTGGAGTGCAGTGGCATGATCACAGCTCATCGTACTCTCCAGCTCCTGGGCTCAGGTGATCCTCCCACTTTAGCCTCCCGAGTAACCGGGACTACAGGCACACACCACCACACCTGGCTGATTTTTTTTTTTTTTTTTGTAGCAACAAAGTCTTGCTTTGTTGTCTAGACTGGTCTTAAACTCCTGGGCTCAAGTAGTTCTCCTGCCCCAGCCTCCTTAAACCTGGGATTACAGGTTTGAGCCACGGTGCCCAGATAGAGAATGTGTGTGTGTGTGTGTGTGTGTGTGTGTGTGTGTGTGTGTGTATACACGCTACCACGCCCAGCTAATTTTTGATTTATTGTAGAGATGAGGTCTCACCAAGTTGCCCAGGTGGGTCTCGAACCCATGGGCTCAGGCAATCCACTCACCTCGGCTTCCCAAAGCACAGGATTACAGGCTGAGCCACTGAGCCCGGCCAAAAATTTTTCATATATATATACACACACAAATATACTTTCTCTGGACAAACTATTGTATCATTTGATTTCTTTTTAAAATTAAAAATGAATTAGCTAGGCAGAGTGGCACTCACCTATGGTTCCAGCTACTTGGAAGGCTGAGGCAGAAGTATCACCTGAGCCCACCAGGTCAATGCTGCAGTGGCTGTGAACATGCTACTGCACTCCAGCCTGGGTGACAGAGTGAGACTCCAACTCAAAAAAAAAAGAAAAATTTTCTTTTTTGAATCAGATTCTCATTCTGTTGCCCAGACTGGAGTGCAGTGGCATGCTCACAGCCATCACAGCCTTGACCTACTGGGCTCAGGCAATCCTTCCACTTCAGCCTTCCAAGTAGCTGGAGCCACAGGCATGCACCACCACACCCAGCTAATTTTTTTGATTTTTTGTAAGGACAAAGTCTCGTCGTGTTGCTCAGGCTGGTCTTAAACCCATGGGCTCAGGCAATCCTTGTCTCCACCTCCCAAAGTGCTGGGATTACAGGCGTGAGCCACCACACCCAGCTATATAAACATTTTCAAAAGGAAAGTTCTTACTCCCTCTCTTCCCACACCTTTCCATCACACTTCTCTGAGGCAACCAACATTAATGATTGGGTGTTTCCTCCTTCTATGTCCCTATATACTTAGTACATGTATAAGTTTTTAAAAACCCTCACCTATGTATATTTATACACCTATGTGTGTGTGTGTGTGTATCTCATGCATGCTTTTTAATATTTCAAAATGTAATGAACCACAATTTAGTTAACCATTTTATTATTGATGGACATTCAAACTTTTTTTTCAGTCCTCTGCTGGTTCATATAGTGTAGCAGCAAAAATTGTGTATACTGGTGCTTTTTCTTTTTTCCTTTATTTTTTCCGAGTTAGACTCTCACTCTGTTGCCCAGGCTGGAGTGCAGCAGTATGCTCATGGCTACCGCAGCCTTGACCTGCTGTGTGCAGGCAATCCTTCCATCTCTGCCTTCCAAGTAGCTGTAACTACAGGCATATGCCACCATGCTCAGCTAATTTTTTTATTTATTGTAGGGGTGAGGTCTTGCCAAATTGCCCAGGCTGGTCTCTAACCCTTGAGTTCAATCCATCCTCTTGCCTCTGCCTCCCAAAGTGTTGGGATTGCAGGCATGAGCCACTGCACCCAGCCTATTTCTTTTATATCTGAATTTCTAAAAGAGAAATTACTGGGTAGAATAACATTTTTTAAATTTGCAAGATCATCCAGAAAAAGGTTGTAGCAATTCACACTCCTGGCATCAATGTCTAAGAAAGCTGGGTCAAATCGGGTGAGTGAAAGGCAGAGTCTCTTTTCATATGTTTTTGGATGGTGGCATTTTCTCTTGTGAAGAGAAGCCTTCTGTTGGGTTGTTTATCAATTTCTAGGAGATGTTTGTATTTTGGGGAAATTCATCTTCTGTTTGTCATATAAAATGCAATATTTTCTTACTTGCGTCTTCCTTATCTTTTGTTCCTTATCTTTGGCACAGTTTCAGTTTTATTTTTATTTTTATTTTGCCATACAGACTTCTGTTTGTGGTCATACAGGTCATACTTCATGATTGGATCTGGGTTTTCTGTGTAGTTTAAAAAGACCTCCCTTATACAGAGGTTAGACAACTATTCAATCAGATGCTTTTCTCATACTTTTCTAGTATGACTTCTTCCATGCCCTTCTTTAATTGATATAAAATGTATTTTTACTTAAGTGTGAGGTAAAGCATCTGACATTTTTTCAAATTGGAGAGCAAGTTATGCAAAGACCCCCCATTTAAGCTGAAATAAAAATAATAGGCAATGAGTACGGAATATGGGCCAGGCATTTTTCTAAGCATTTTAACATGTATTAATTTATGTAATCCTCACGACACCTCCTGACATAGGTGAAATGCCACCTCATCATATAGAAGTTGTTTTAACATACTTGCATCTGTTTCTAGATCACTAGCCAATAAAGCAGAAAAGAGTGAAAACGTGTGTGTGTGTGTGAGTCCAACCACCCACATGTCCCCTTCCTCCCGGCACATTTTTTTTCAGCTGTTCCTTTTTGTCCTGTGAGCACCACACTCCTATATCTCTACTTGCCTTTGCCTTGCATCTTCTTTTTTGTTGTTGTTGTATTTTGAGTCTGGGGTTTCCCTTTGTCACCCAGGCTGCAGTGCAGTGAGGTCACGGCTCACACAACCTTGACCTCCTGCAATCCTTCTGCCTCAGCCTCCCGAGTCCCTGGGACTGTAGACGTGTGCCACCATGCCTGGCTAATTTTCTGATTTTTTGATAGGGATGAGGTCTCACTGTGTTGCCTGGGCTGGTCTCCAACTCATAGACTCAAGCGATCCTCCCTCCTCAACCTCCCAAAGTGCTGGGATTACAGGTATGAGACACACTGCACCCGGCCGCAACTTGTCTTAGAAGCGAGGTGGCCATCATGCACTCTTGATTTTCGCACCAGCTTGTTTGGCTGCCCAGTCTTTTATCTTAACTCCACTAAGCATCACTGCTGCTTCCTCCTTCCCGCTGCTCGCATCTTGTCTGCCCACAGGTTCTACCGACTCTGCCCGCATCAAAGCACCGCACCCCTCAGCCGCCCTCTTCTTTCTGTGTCCCTATCACCGCCTCTGCATTCTCCTGCCCCCTCTCCTGCCTCTCCCAGTCCATTCTCCACAGGCAGACAGGGCAACCTTCTTAAAATGTCAATCATTGTTTGCACGTGGAATGTTCCTGCGCAGAGTTTCTCAAGGCCCCGCCTTCCCCTGCACCTGCCCATGCTCACCAGGCCCTGCCCCCACCTCAGACCTCACCTTGTCTCACCTGCCCACCTTCACCCTGCTCTTACCACACTGGCCTTTTCTCTATCTCAAACATGTCCTGCTCAGACTACCCTGGGGTGTTTTGAATGAAGATCCTTCCCATAGCTGCTTTTCCTCATCATTTGAAGGAGAGGCCTTCCTTGACTATCAAAATAAAAAATTCTTCCCTGCCCCCACCCACTCTCTGTTGTTACTGACTTTTACTGTTGTCACAGTAGACTTAGTATCTGAAATTGCCTCATTCATTGGCTACCTGCTTCCTTCCAGAATGAACCTTGGCTTTCTTTCAGACTTTCTTCCTTTTCTTTTTTTTTTTTGAGTTGGAATCTCACTCTGTTACTCCAGTGCAGTGGTACGTACGATTGCAGCTCACTGCAGCCTCGACATCTTGGGCTCAAGTAATCCTTCTACCTCAGCCTCTTGAGTAGCTAGGAGTACAGTCATGTACCACCATACTTGGCTGATTTTTGTATTTTTTTGTT